CCGCCTCGCTCCGGACGAGGCCTTTATGTCTGCGTCCCAGCTGCGCCTGCGCCGCCAGCGCCATCTTTTGCCACCGCCGCCTCCTCCCCCTTCTTGACTAGAACAGGGAAACCGGGAGGGGAGAGAAGGGGCTGCGGCCGAGCGAAAACCGACGACGACGACGACGACGAGGAGGAGGAGGGGAGCGCAACGCAACGTCGTCGCCGCCGCCGCTTTGCTGCGAGGCCGGCCGGCTGGCCCTGCTACGAGGAAGAGGCAGCAACGCTGGCGCAGGCAGAAGGAAAGAAGGCGGGAGGCCGAACGAGAAGACGCCCCGGCTGCGCTAACCTTGTCCCTGGCGCCTCCCCGCCCTTCCCCAGGATGCCCCCCGTCTCTTGCTCCTGCTCCCGCCGCCGCTGCCGCCGCCGCTCTTGATGGCGACGCGTCTGGCGGCCGCCGGCTCCAGCGGGACTCTGCGTCTCATCTTCGCCACCGCCTCGGCTCCTTCTAGGCTCGGAGGGTCTCCTTGTCGGCTCGGGGGCAGCTGGCGCGGGCTGTTCCCCCCACCCTCTCCTCCTCTCCGGGCAAGTCGGGTGCTTTTAACTGGGGAGAGCTTGGGGCTTGGAGGTGGGGGCCGTCGGAGGCTGTCTGATTTCGACGAGGGCGGCGGCGAGGGCGATTAGTCTCCTCCTTCCGCACTATTCGCGGGGAGGGGGAGCTCGGCTGGGCAACGGAGAAGTGAATGGTAGGCGCTTGAGAGTCACATTCCCAGGAGGGGAAGAGAGGAGGAGGAGGAGGAGGAGGGTGCCGCCGACTGGATTGCCCTGGGAGCGTGTGTGTGTGCGTGTAAGAGAAAGAGAGTGAGTGTGTGTGTGTGTGTGTGTGTGTGTGTCTTTTTCTGGCGCCCTCCCCCTTTCTTCTGGGTCGAGTGCCCCAGCCAGCTGCGAGGAGCGCCTTGTCTCTGCCTGGTCTCTCCCTCTTCCTCTCTCCCTTCATTTCTGGGGAACTGCGCTCCTTAAAATAGCACCAGCTATTCAATGCACCAGCCTGACTCAGCGGCAGACACGAGTGCGGGGAAGATGGCGCACCCGGCGATGCTTCCTCGGAGGGGCAGCAGCAGCAGCAGCAACAACGTCGTGCCGGCTCTGGGCACGGTGGGCGCCAGCAGCGGCAGCCAGGAAGATTATTCGCCTCCTTTGCTCGTCCAGCCGCCTCCTCCTCCTCCTCCTCCTGCGGCAGCCTCTTCCTCTTTGCCCGGGCCGCAGCCGCCGCCGCTGGCCCCTCCGCCGCCGCAGAGCTTGACCCTCCTCTCCCAGCCGCCCCCGCCGCCCCAGCCCCTGAGCCAGGCAGGGGCCCAGATGAAGAAGAAGAGTGGCTTCCAGATCACCAGCGTGACTCCAGCCCAGATCTCGGCTAGCCTCAGCTCCAACAACAGCATTGCTGAGGACACAGAGAGTTATGACGATCTGGACGAGTCCCACACGGAGGACCTCTCCTCTTCAGAGATCTTGGATGTCTCCTTGTCCAGGGCGACTGACTTGGGAGAACCTGAGCGGAGTTCCTCAGAAGAGACGCTGAATAACTTCCAGGAGGCTGAAAGCCCCGGGGCTGTTTCGCCCAACCAGCCTCGCCCTCCCCAGCAGCAGCACCACCCATCTTTGCCACATCCCCCTCAGCAGCAGAGTGTGGTGATCAACGGAAGTGTCCATGGACACCATTACCACCATCATCACCACCACCACCATCATGGGCATCACCATGGGACCCACTCTGGGATGGGTGGCCCAGCAGCTCCTGGAGGACCTCCATCCAGTCCATCATTAAGAAAACTGTCTGCAGCTGGAAGTTCTGAAGGTGTAGTAACGGCTGCTTTACAGGTTTCTGCTGCATCATCCTCTGGTGCACCTGCAACCAATGTTGTGTCTCACTTCCGCACTGCTGGTACACCTGGAGTTACTTCTGCCGGTGGAGTTGGTACCAACACCTTGAGCAGTGTAGGTAGTGGAAGCCCTAGCGTGGTGAGCAGCGTGCCCAGTCATGTGAATAAGAATCTGAGTAACATCCCATGTACTGGTAGTACAGCTGCTTTGTCAGGAGCAAGTGGCAATGTGAATGTTACTGTCTTAAGTGGAGTTAGCAATGGCATGGGTGCTTCTTCCACTGCTGTCAGTAACACTGGCAATTCAGCATCCTTATCAGCTAGTCATCTGCAGCCTGCAACCAGTACCTCGAGGTTTAGAGTTGTGAAGTTGGATTCCAGTTCAGAGCCTTTCAAGAAAGGCAGATGGACATGTACAGAGTTCTATGACAAAGAAAATCCTGTATCTCTTATGGAAGGGGTGGCATCCAATAAAGTGGTAGACACTTTAAAGCAGAACCCACTTGAAGTGACTTCTGAAAGGGAGAGTACCAGTGGGAGTTCAGTTAGCAGCAATGTAAGCACTCTGAGTCACTATACAGAAAGTGTGGGAAGTGGGGAGATGGGAGCATCTTCTGTGGCACAGCAGCAAGCATTTCAAGGAGTTGGGGCTCAGCTGATGGATCTTAGTAGCACTGGTTCTCAAGCTGTATCTGCACCTAGTGTACCCCACAGTATTTCTCAGTCACAGCTTGCACAGGCGCAACTTCATCCTCAGGATGCAAGTTACCCACAACAAAAGCAGGGAGTCCAGCCTCCTGGGTCAGCTGTTCCTTCTCCAGTGAATATAGCAGGTCAACAGTCTACCATGCCAGCTGTGGCACCTCAGCAGCAGCTGCCCTACACCCAACCAATGCAAGCTGTGCAGGCTGTTCCAGTTGTGCCACAACCACAGCCACAGCAGTTATCGTATGGGCAGGGACAGGCGCAGCACCCAGCACCACCACCACAACCAGTGCCTATGCAGATGGCTCCAGGACATGTTAAACCAGTGAATCAAAACTCTGTCACAGGCCCTGTGTCAGATTACATGCAACAGCAGCAGCAGCAGCAGCAACAGATGCTTCAGACTCCAGTTTCATCTATGCAGAGTGGTCCTACAGTGGTAGGAACAGGTACATCCCTACCAGTTGCTCAGGGAGCAAGCATGCAGCCTTCTCTACAAGCACATCTGCCAGTGGCATCCTCTCAGCCTGTTGCACATGGCCAGGCCCCAGTGCCGACAGTGGGAGCAAATACTCAAATGATGAATGTTGGGCAACAAGGAAATGTACCGCCTGCAGTCCAGTCTCAGCAGCCACTGCCTGCTGCCAGCCAGATTGCTCCTTCAGTGATGGCGCAAAGTGCTGGTCCTTCTCCTCCTCCTCCTTCACAAGTGGTACCCCCTGTTCCAGCAGGGATTATTCATCCAGGGCAGCAGGGAAGTACACCAGGCATTTCTCAGCCACTGATTATTGCACCGCAGAGTACTTTGCTATCCATGCAAGCAGCAGAATCTCTTGTTCAAGGAATGACTGGTCAGCAGATGCCTCCTGTGAGTCCTGTACCTCCTGTTAGTGCTGTCCCTGCCCCGTGCCATTCTGCTGCCAATGTGCCCCCTACTCCGATGAGTTTGGCTTCCTCAAAGACCATACCACAGTCTTCAAATGTGCAGAATGGGAACTTGGTACAAAACGTGTCTCAGCCTTCACTGATATCTACTGGCGTCAGTTTGCCTGCAACCCAAAATGTGCCACAACAGATACCACTGAACTCTGCTCAGTTTTCTGCACAGTCTCTCGCTCAGTCAATTGCAACTCGGGAAGAAACTAGGCGCTCTACAGAACCCACCTTGGTTGGCCTACCCCATCCCACCAGTGGTGAAGGTAGTGTTGGAGCATCGTCATCCATTTCAGATGGGGGCAGCAGCATGGCAGCTTCTCTTTTCCCTCTGAAGGTACTTCCATTGACCTCACAGCTCGTTGATGGTGAGGATGAGAGGTAAGATCACAGTTGTGATAAACCACATTTAGTTTATTGGCCCTTTTCCAACCCAAGGCAAGCTTTGAAATGATAGGTTTAGTAACTGATGTTAACAAGAACTTATTTGCTAGTGGTGGACATAATGCTAGCAAATAATGCTTGCTTCCTTGTTAGCCAGAAGGAAAATGTGCGAAAATGTGCCATGGGGAAAGTAAACAAACTGCAACTGAGGCTCCCAAAAGATAATGACTACTGTTGCTCTGTAAAGAGTTAGCATTAGGTTTTCAGTACACATAATCCATTTCTTGATGTGAAGAGTCCATGCTTCAGAGTACCATAATAATGTATGTTTGTGGTTCGGGCCAGGCCTATTTGCACTCTCTTGCCTTACATGTAAAGATGAATTTGGTTATATCCCTAGAATCTATGGAAATATGCCCATTTCAAGCATTTCCAGATTACTTTTAAGAAGGAAAAATAAAAAGGATGAATTGGGGAAGTGCTTCTTGACTTCTCTTTTTTCTGCTTAGGCTCTTATTTTTCCATGAAGTCACTTTATTTTGCTTTCTCCTTTTTCTTTATGCTGCAGTGTCAGGATTTTTTAATGTGTTACTCCTTCCTTATCTTTTACAGAGGCCACTTGGTCCTGGAGGTGTGCAGTTTTGAACTGATGATGTACTTGGCATAGAGGGAACAAATCTCAAATCTATTTTAAAAAGGCATAAATACACAACTTTATGCATCTTTCTTTCTCTCTTGTATTGGAGTCAGTTTCCCTGTATTTGTCACCAGTTTGCTTTAATGCATAATGAGTCAGAACTAGATTTAGTTAAAACCCTCAATAGATCTGTTGAAATAACTTGATCATAACTAACTTGTCACTTTGATTTCAGTGATTTCACTCTAAGGATGATTACATTTGGATTGTACATGGTTTATGTATAAAAGTTATAAATGTAGTGAAATTATTTAAACCTATGTTTCTGCTTCTTGTTCCTGTGACACCCCACCTCCGACAAGGCTAAAAACTGCCAGTATCGGAAGCAGACAATACAGTTGGATTTCTGATATGCCTGTGAACGATTTTCAGTCATAAGAATTATAGTATCACTTTCAGATATAAACCAATCACCCCTTACCAGTCATCTCAAAGTATTTCATTGAATCAGAACCAAAAGGATATTGAGACTTTGTGATGAAACTGATCTTTGTACCCACTGTCCTGCTGTGTCTGAGGTATGACAGCATGGCTGGGCTGAGCCCTTATTTCTTACAGTCAAATCCAGTCCTTTTTTGAAGGAGTTTGGAATAACATTGTATTTTTGCAGTCTCTTGGGAATAGGTGAGGTCACAATACCAAAACTAGCAAGTAATTTTCATTGTGGTGAAAGTATTTGAGCATTGATTTCTAATTTCCAAACTCAACTGCCCTCCATCCCCAGCATTCTGTTTTGGCTCTAATACATTTTAAGAGCCACACAAGAGCCTTTCACCTGGCTGATGTACCACTAAACTTTTATGGAAAAACCAGATGTAGTCAGAAAACAAATGTGTACATGAAAATGGGATTGTTGGTCAGCTTATTATAAAACAGAGGGATGGGGGCTGTTTAAAACACTATATGCTTTGACTTTCTATGGTTTCTTCTCAGATCTATTTCTGTCTGTGCTCTGAAAATGAGAATAACCAGTGAAGAAAAACAGCTGGGGGGTAGAATTCACTTCCTTTTGACCATTATATGCTGCTTTTAATTTCTTGTTGGACATACTGCTTGCATTGCATTAACGTCTAGTTTTGATTCTAATGGTTATGGTTGCCCTCACTAAGGCACCACAGAAAACTGGAGTTACTGTTAAATTGGATTTAAATTTGACTGGGATATACCTAGGAAGCTATTAAGATTATGCTGCCATTTCTTCTGAAACATAAGCCTCATTGTATTGTTGTAGCTGTCATTGTCCAGAAGTTATCTTGACCTTTCCTCTTTGTTGCTTACAAGCGGAGATGAACTTGTATCTCCTCGTTGGCAAAGCTAGAACTAGAAAAGAAAGGTGGAATAAAGCAGCTGATTAAGTGAGAATATTAAAACTCGCAGAAACTGTTGAACTCTTACAGGAGTTCTCAATTCCAGGTGGTGGTAGAAGTAGCATTTTATTATGATGGCTTATGTTCTGTCCATCTCTCTTAATAGTTATGGGGGAGTGCTGTGATTCAAACTGTTACAGTAGTTGTGTGGTGAGGGTTAGGGGGAGAAAGCAAAAAAAGCAAGAGAGCAATTAACCCAAAGTTACCTACAATATTTGGCTTTGTGATTAACCCAAGACCCTGATACCAGGTCTCCTCAGTCAAGATCCACTGCTGTCTGGTGCTGTGATCCTTATTATTCTACTTAAAACTTGAAAGGGCCTCAGTTCAGATGACTAGTGGTGGAAATGAGTTGGAATAGGCTGGAATACCAAAGATCCAATGGTGTCAGCTGCAGTTCCTGGTAAAGACATTGCAATGAGCCACTTGAGAGGTGGGGTAAGGAAGCACAGCTGAATTGTAGAATCTGACCCTCTTGTTCTTAACTGGTTTTATGGTAAGAGAGCTTTCTAGAATATTTCTCTGTTTCCATCATTGCCTTTCATTTGTATCTGGTAGGACAGTTTGGTTCTAGTGGTTTTGAATGCTTGGTGAATAAGTAAGCATTTGTTCAGAAGTGCCTTTTTGAAACTACTGAATATTGGAAGAGCAGCAGGAATTGCTTTAACTAATTCTAGAATTCTAGGTAAGGCCATAATAATTTTGTCAGGTTTTCTGTAGGTTTCTTCAGGTGCTTAATTTTGTTAAAAATACTAATGGGATTCTAAGTGTCTTTCCAGCCCCCCCCCCCCAATTGCTGTGGTTGTACAATATGGGTTGTGAGAATATGACATGTTTGCTTCTTCCAAACCATGTTAGGTGTGATCGAGATTTACTTAAAGGTTTATCAAAGGGCATGGGAAAATTTTGCTCTTAATTTAAATAAATAAATAAATAGATGTTCTCAATTTATAGCATACTTTAGCATCTTATTAACTCACAACAACCCTGTGATGGAGCTAATTGCTTTTTTCTAGTTTATGATGAGGACTGAAAATTTGTATGTGCTATGCTATGTCCAATGTTACTTGATACTGTGTTCAGTGTTAAGTGGTACTGGCTCAAGATCAAGCACTCCTGTCTATTTGCTCTGTGGGTAATTTTTTTTAAAATGGTGGAGGTTTGTACACACTTTAAGTCTATCTTAGCTGTATTCCCTTCTCAGCTATGCAATGTGGTGCAGCTTTGTTGCTTGGGAATAGGTTTGCTTATAAGTTACCTACTACAGTACTTTCTATTTTTGAAGTGGACAAGTGAAATTATTTTGGTTGGTCATTTTGCTTCGTGGATTTTTTTAAAAAAAATCTATTGATTCTGCTGTTTGTCTGTTCACATATTCCTAAATATGATTTTAGCATAGTTGACATTATTTGAGAATGTAACTGTGGATCATCAGACTTCATGCTAAACCAACTGGTGCTTCTATAAATATACATACACTTCTCAATTATTTTTAATCTTCTCCAAGTGGTATGAAAAAGAAGTTAGTTCAAACAGAATGATAGTAAAGAGAAAACTCTGCTGCAAGTATTAGTCATTTCAGGTTGATGCCAGGATATTTACAAAAATTCAGATTTTTTAATCTTGTAAACACTGACTATTTTTTTTTTTTTGAAACATTGGCCAAAATATCTTGTAATGAATAAAGAAGTGAGGGTTCCTGCTACCAGTGCTGAGCTTATGAATTTTAGGATTCAGGCCTAAACCACAAATTTGTTCAACATACTTTTTTGTTGAATGAAGTATTTCTTACAGAGCTTTTAGATTTCTAAGTCAAGATGGCACATGGTTTATTCTTGTTGACTCACATTCAATCCATCAAAAAATCTCTAGTTTATGAATTTGGGATATTGCTTTTGTATCCACAATTCAGAACACAATTAAATAGCCCTGAGTTGCTTTGTAACATCCTGTCAGTGTTGCCAGCTTTTGCCAAGCTTAGACAGCAAAAGCTGACCTGAATGTTGATGACACCAATGTCAGCAGTCAAGGTCTACACAGTCTCTTCACTTCCGTGCACAAAGAGACACCAAGGAAAGGAAAACTTTTTTCATTAGTTAATCAAATCTCACCTAAACACACAGCAATTTCATTACTCTTTTTTGATAAAATATCTAGATATCTAATACTCCAGTGAATTGCTACTACCCTGTTTTCCCGAAAATAAGACCTAACCTGAAAAGAAGCCTTAGTATGATTTTTCATGATTCTCGTAATATAAGCCCTACCCCCCCAAATAAGCCCCAGTTAAGTGAAACCCCACCTTCCACCATTGTGCAGTAACCAGGAGAAGATGACATGACTGTATCTGAATAAAAGTGGATTATTGTATGTTAGCAAAATAAAACATCCCATGAAAATAAGCCCTAATGTGTTTTTGGAGCAGAAATTACTATAAGACCCTGTCTTATTTTTGGGGAAACACGCTAGTGAAGAAGATGGTCCTTATACAGTGTTCTTGTGTGCCAAATTACAAGATTACTATAGAATGAGAGATCCAAATCTCAACTTCTTAACTAGTGGAAATTTGCTGCTGTGATTTACACTGTTTGACTCATGCCAGCGGGCATAAGTAGCAGGATTCTGGTGACTATATATACTTAGCTGAAACCTTGTTTTAAATATAACATTAGAATGTGCTAACAACTTTTTCCTCTGTAATTACTTAAGTGAACATTGTTGCAGTGCAATTATTTTTTACTATTGAGTGCTCCATATGCTGCTAAAAATGAAAAGTGCATATACATAGAGCTGAAAGTTTGAAAGGAATTGACATACAATGGTGCCTTGCTTGACGGGGATAATCCGTTCCAGCAAAATCGCTGTTAAGCGAAATCCTCGTCAAGCGAAATGAAAAAGCCCATTGAAACGCATTGAAAACCGCTCAATGCGTT